TTACGTGGACGACACGCAGTTCGTGCGGTTCGACAGCGACGCCCCGAATCCGAGGATGGAGCCGCGGGCGCGGTGGGTGGAGCAGGAGGGGCCGGAGTATTGGGAACGGGAGACACGGAATGCGAAGGGCAACGCACAGTGGTACCGAGTGGGCCTGAACACCCTGCGCGGCTACTACAACCAGAGCGAGGCCGGTGAGCGGCGCGGGCCCGGGTCCAGCTCACGACTCGCCTCCCCAGGGACGGGCCGGGGGCCCCCGAGTCTCCGGGTCCGAGGGTCACCCCGACATTGCGGGGCCCGCCCGGCCCTCGACCCGGGAAGAGCCGGCGGGACCTTGACCCGGTTTCATTTTCAGTTGAGGTTTAATCACTGTGGGGGGCGGGGCGGGGTCAGGGTCTCACACCGTCCAGAGGATGTACGGCTGCGACGTGGGGCCGGACGGGCGCCTCCTCCGCGGGTACTGGCAGGACGCCTACGACGGCAAGGATTACATCGCCCTGAACGAGGACCTGCGCTCCTGGACCGCGGCGGACGCGGCGGCTCAGATCACCCAGCGCAAGTGGGAGGCGGCCGGTGATGCGGCGGAGCAGGAGAGGAACTACCTGGAGGGCAGGTGTGTGGAGTGGCTCGGCAGATACCTGGAGAACGGGAAGGAGACGCTGCAGCGCGCAGGTACGAGGGGCCGCGGGGCCTCCAGGCCTCCCCTCGGGCTGCCGCTCGGATCCCACGAGGAGGGGAGGAGGGATCCTGCGGGAAACCGCCGGGCTTCCTGCTGCAGAGGGAGGGGTCCGCCCAGGTCCCCGTATTCTGTACAGGAGAGTGACTTGCCAGGGGCCCGACTTCTCTAAAGGACAGTGAGGAAATCCAGGCTCTTCAGGATAAAGAGGGGGAGACCGTCCCCGAAATAACTGACCCGCGGTGCCCTTTGACCCCGGCCGCCATCTTGTGAACCAGGACCTTCTCTCTCAGGCCTGTTCTCAGCCCGAGACCGTGTTTGAATCCAGATTCCAGCATTTCTGAGGCATTGATCCTCCACCAAAGTCATGAACATGACCCTGTATTCCCCACCTTACATTCCTGGAGCCTCCCATATTGTCTTTCATTCTGAAATATTAAACATTCCGAGGACTAGGAGATATTCCCAGACATCCAGGTGCAGGCTGGTGTCCTGGGTTTGTGCTTCTTTTCAAACCCATCATCCTGTCCAGTCTCAGGATGGTCACCTGATGCTGCATCAGTGGCTCATGGAGATAACCCAGAGTGACAAGTTTCTGATTCTTCTTCCTCAGACCCTCCAAGGACACATGTGACGCATCACCCCACCTCTGACCGTAAGGCCACCCTGAGGTGCTGGGCCCTGGGCTTCTACCCTGCGGAGATCTCACTGACCTGGCAGCGTGATGGGGAGGACCAGGCCCAGGACACGGAGCTCGTGGAGACCAGGCCTGCAGGGGACGGGACGTTCCAGAAGTGGGCGGCCCTGGTGGTGCCTCCCGGAGAGGAGCAGAGATACACGTGCCACGTGCAGCACGAGGGGCTTCAGGAGCCCCTCACCCTGAGATGGGGTGAGGAGGGAGACGGGGGTGGAGCTTCTTCTCTGATAAAGCAGAAGCCCTACTGGGGACCTTCAACAAGGTCGGGACTCAGACCTGAGGCCAGGGTCTGTTCCCTTCTCTTTGCAGAGCCGCCTCCTCAGCCCACCGTCCCCATCATGGGCATCATTGTTGGCCTGGTTCTCTTTGTGGTCATTGGAGCTGTGGTGGCGGGATTTGTGATCTGGAGGAAGAGGCGCTCAGGTAGGGAAGGGAGGGGGAATTGGACTTTTCTTGTCTAACTTGAGGGGTGTCAAGCCCAGTATAAGTTTGCCTGCCTCGTTACTGGGAGGTACTGTTCACACACGTGCTTGCCCGTCTGGAGCTGAGGGCTAACACTTTGTAAAGCACTTATGAAAATGAAAGACAAATTTTTCAGCTTGGAATTGCAGTTGGGGATCAGATTCCCAGCAGTCAAAAGTCAGATGGATAGACCCCCATTGAGGACAGACCTGAAGAAGGTAGTTGGCCCAGTCCCCCCACATGTCCTTCCTTCATGTTCTGATCCTGTCCTTGATTTTTGGTCACAGTTTTAGAAAGTTCTCTGTGGTCCAGAACAAGGGGTTCCTCTCATGAGTCAGGCTTCTCCCTGGCCTCTCACAAGATGTTTTCTTCTGACAGGTGAAAAAGGAGGGAGCTATGCTCAGGCTGCAAGTAAGTACGGAGTGAGTGTGGTTCCTGAGACCCTTGTGATGGTGGACCTGGGACGCCATGTGGGGAGCTCACCAGCCTCAGAATTCCTTCTCTGGTTTCTCTCCTGTGGGCTCTGACCACGTCCTGGTTTTGTTCTCCCCCAGACAGTGACAGTGCCCAGGGCTCTGATGTGTCTCTCACGGATCCCAGAGGTGACACCCTGGAGGGCCTGGATTGGGAGAGGGTTTGGGGCAGAGGGGATACTGTGGGTGTGGGGATTCTCTGAGTGGGACATTTTGAGCATGTGGGGGGCTGTTGAGAATGTCAGCACTTCCATGGCTGACCTGAATTGGTTCCTGATTCTTTTCTTTCACAGTGTGAGACAGCTGCCTTGTGAGTGCACTGAGTGGTGCAAGATGTGTTCACGACCCACTTTATGACTTCAGATCCCCTGACTCCTGTTTCTGCAACTGCACCTGAATGTGTCTGTGCTCCTATTAGCATAATGTGAGGAGGTGGGGAGACTGGCCCACCCCTGCCCCCCACACCCCTCCCCACCCTGACCTGTGTTCTCTTCCCTGGTTGACTTCTCTTCCAGCAGGTGGGGCTGGGCCATCTCCATCTCTGTCTTAACTTTGTGCTGCATTTTATAATAATTTCTTACTTTCCTAATGAAAATAAATCTGGATATGAATTTGGTTTTTTTTTGTAATTGGTGCCACAAGCCATTAATGAAATAATAAAGGTGAAGATTCCTAAAATTTGTGAGTGGAAATAAAGAAGCACTCAGAACCTTCCAGAATCTGCATGCTTGTTGTACTGCGCCTGTTGCAGGGGGGACAGAAGGCTGTTAGGAGGGAGTGTGGCAAGGACTGTGCGCAGTCAGTGCTCAGTTCCTTGTGGGCTGTGAAGTGGTCACTACTGGGATGGGTCATCTTCTCTGGTCCTGTGTCCCTGTAATTTCAGTAGAACCTGGTCCCACCAGGACCTGTGATCACAGAGACTCAGAAGTCACCTGGGCCTTGTCCTGTCTGGAGGACATTGACAGCGAGGCCTACCTGTGACCATGTCGCCCTGGGCTCAGGAAAAAGTCCAGCCCTCAGCCCCTGTCTATTTGTGTGTGCGTTCATATTTTGCCCTTTTAGGATTTTTTATATTATGATGTTCTTTTTCGTGTGTAGAATTCTGGCCTCATTCTGCTCTGGGTGTCCCCCATCTCTGACACCAGGAGGAGTCATTTTTGCCTGTCATATCCCCACAATTCCAAGGTGTCCCTGCACACAGGCTCTCAGTGGTATCAAGAGAGAAATTCTCAGCATTATCCAGCTCTGGCCTGATTCTTCTTTGCATCTTTCTCCCATCTTTTTTAAGGAACTAGATTCTAGAATTAGCAAAGAAGAGGGACCCAAAAGTTTCCCATCTTCATTTAATTCTTACTGGATTTCTGTCTTCTCTGCAGCCACTCCCTCTCTCTGCCTTTAGCACTAGTAATCCTAGTGCTGGCTCCAGGCCAAACTCATGGTTTATACCACAGATGTAATGCAGATTCACAGCAGGATGTAATAGGAGACCCATAAGCATAGGATATCTTTTTCTGAAGATACAAATATTATGTGTGCTGTGGAGACAGGTGGCTGTGGGGTGGGCGGGAGATCACCACTTGCGAGAGATGGAAAAATGGTTTAGGGTAATGAAAATGTTCGAAAATTTATTGTGGCTGCCCTGACACCTCTCTGTGAATATGCTGTAATCGATTCTTTCCAATGGTTGAGTGAGCTGTCTCATTTATATCTCAATAAAGCTGTTCTAACGAAAGGTTCTGGCCCCATATCAGATGAAGCAGAGATGCCAGAACCACCGTGGTGATTGAAAAGAAAGACATGAAAAAGCTCAAAGAAGTGGACATTCTAGCATAAAATAAAACTGGAAGAAACCCAGGTGTCTGTCTTACAAAGGAAACTTTCTCAGGCAATAAGGACTGAGCAACTGAGCAGAGTAGGGACCTCAGAGTGTCTGTCCTTTGCAGGCAGGGACTGACTCTAGGAGATAATATTACAGCAGCAACAGGGGTAATAGGGTCCCAGAAAGTCAGAGGACAGGTGACAGCAAGACAGAAACAAGGACTAAATCCCTAAAACCAGCAATGTCACAATGGAAGCAGGAAAGTCTGACTGCAAGGACTTTATGGAAATGCTTCGTAGATTGTGGTGTTTCTGGGGCAAGGTGGGTGGACAGACAACAAGAGTTGCCGAGCA